GTGTCACTCCTCCCCCCCCGCCCCGGTCGGGGGCGGGGGGGGGGGGGGGGGGGGGCAGCCCTGTGTCAGGGGACAGGGACGGGGATGACGGGGACAGCGCAGTACCGTCCAGCCACAGCGCTTAAGCCCATGGGAGCCGCAGGACTCACATGGGCCTGTGAGATGCAGGAAAGCAGCTTAACCGCAGAATTATTTACTTTAACTCCTCTTACTTTAGCTCTGTCCTTAATAGTCTCCCAGGCTCAGGGGGCCGGGCCAGGCCGGGCTGACGGGGGGGACCGCAGACCCCCATGTCCCAGGGAAGGGGGACCAGGATGGGGGCTTTGCCCCAGCATCCCCAACCCAGTGCTCAGTGCCGCACCTGGGACTTGGCAGTGCTGCAGAGCAGGGCCCGGCATGGCACACGCAGTCCAGCATGGCCATGCTCGACCCTCGATGCCACGCTCCATGGTGGCAACAGGACGCGGGGGATGTCCCCTCCCCAGTCAGCCCCTGTCCCAGGAGGCTTTCCAGAGCCCCCAGCCTGGCGGGCAGCCCAGCTCCGGCTCAGCCTGGCAGGATGGGGACACTGCACCGGTGGCCGTCCCCACGCCAGGGACACATTTAGGATGGGATTACAGAGGAGACAGCTGGGATAGGGAAGGGCAGGTGGGGAGCCCTGGCAAGACGGCGGTCACGGGGGTGCCCTGTGCCCACACATGCGCTGCCTCCCTGCCACGGAGCTGTGCGTGGTGTGGCACGGCACAGCTTGGCATGGCACAGCATGGCTTGGCGTGGTATGAAATGGTGCGGTATGGCAGGAAAGGGCTCGGCACGGTGTGGCACTGCACGGCATGGCATGGCTTGGCACAGCATGACTGGGCACAGCACCGCAGGGCTCAGCACGGCAGGGCTCAGCCTGCAGCAGCCCTGGGTGGGCACCGTGGGCAGCCGATGCTCCCAGCCAAACAGCGTGCAGGCACACTGGCGTCACACACCTGGTCACGCACACCGGTGTCACGCACACGCCCCGCGCCGTGTCCCACGGGTGTATCACACACCCATACCCCGCAGCAGTGTCCCACCCGCGTCCCCTCGCCTTCCCGCCAGAACTACAACTCCCAGCAGCCCTCGCCGATCCCGCTGCCCCGCTCCACCATTGGCCGCCTCGGGGACGCCCGGCGCCGAGCTCCCGATTGGCTGTCCCCGTGGCAACGGGCGGGGCGGGGGGCGGGGCCTGGGGCAGCCCCTCCCGGCACCGCGGGTTTGTTTGCGGCCGCCCGGCGGCGGCGGTGGCTGGAGCGTGGGGACGGATCCGAGCCGAGCCTCCGCGGGACGGGCATGAGGAGCGGCGGGAC